AAGTAGCTAGCAATAATGCATTTATGGTGTGCAACAGATTTTTTTTTTTTGCAGACATTCAAATCGACAAAAGAAAATGATTAGGTAAGTTTAGTCTAGATATATGATTTGTAACAGTGAGTGTTTATTACCATATTTCATACCAGGTGTCCTGCTGGTGTAGGCGGCTGTGCTGGGGGCGACGGTGCTATAACGAGTTGGGAAATTGAGACATCAATGCACGGAGAAAGTGCTAATGAATCAATCATAAAGCTCGTTTCCATCCACTTTTTCCACTGTTATGTTATCGACAAAGTGAATATGCGGAAAAAAAAAACATTACGAAATTTACCGTCTCCAGACTGTTTCCATTCAATTGGCCTTTTACCGATAAGAGTGTGCGTGTGATGACGTCACGAAAGACGAAAGCATATGTTTTGGTGTATCGCAAAAAAGTGCCCTCAAACCGTTTCCACAAATTTTTATTTTTTTATTTTAATGTCGCAAATTCTACCTTTTGTGGTTCCAGTCAGCACACCCCCCAACACCAACTAAACAAAAGGAGAGAGTATTCAGGCAGTACTGCCTTACTGTCATTTCACTTTCACAAATAATTGCAAGGGTCCGAAATAGAAGACGATGGCAGAAGCAGTTGATCTGATAGGGCTCGAAGTAACTACCCTTATGTGACGAAGCCCAAGGGTCTGGAAGAGACCACACAATAAGGTGTTCTGGAAAGAAGTTGTGGAGACACACTTTACAGACGCTTTTCTGCCAGGTAACGCTGTTTCAGTACCTTCCATTTGCTACGAAGAATATGCCAAGGCTCAGTGTAGCCATTAATAGCCATTTTTCGTTGCAACTCCTGAAATGTTGTAGCATTCCTTTGCCGTTTTCCATCAAAAATACATGTAATATTATTTTCTTCAATTAAATGGAGAAAATAACGAGTCTCGTCATCTGTCCATGTAACGTTATAACACTCCGAGTCCGCCTTTTGTGACGACTGTGCCTTTCACGTGATGGAAATATCAAGTGACACCACATTTATTTGCGTTAAAGCCCTTTTTCTCGACAAAGAGTGTTACCAAACTAGTTTTTCGCGACATTTAAAGGTTCTCTAAGCGATGTGGGGCCAAAACATTTTTTGTCACATACATCAAACGTCTCCTCACTATCGGCTAGCTGCCTGTCCCCTAAACACACTGTAAAAAAACGCGGTCTCTGTAGACACCACAGGCTCCACAAACGGCAACAAAAACAATCATGTCTCACCCGGACCACGAAACCTAACAAACAGTGTTCCAGCCAATCACTGGCAAGAAGTATTTGAGGGTGGGTCTGGGGGGTTAGTGCGCGTGCAAATGAAGGGGGTGTGTGTGTGAAGGAGATAGAAGCATCAGAGGGAAGTTTGAAAAATGGCCGACACACGACCAAAGAGACGTCGTTCTGAAGAACAAATTAAAAAGAAGAAGGAGTCGGATAAAGAACGTGCGAAGTTCCGAAATTATACATCGGTAGCAAAGCTTTTGAACGATGGCGAGAACTCCGGCGGCAGAAGGGCTTCCAGTCCGACGTCGGGTTGCTCTGTTTTTGCTGGACAGGTGGGTAACGTTAAATTGTTTTTTTTTCTTCTAAATTGACGCTTTATGTTCGCCAAACCCACACAAGGATATAATTAGCCAGAATTATGCACGTTCACAATTATTTCAGGAAGCACGGAAGGGAGGGGGAGGAGATGAGATGCGGAGGAGGGAGGGTCTAGCTAGCCTCTGATTAGTTTGAAAATATTCCGAACGTCAACAACACCCAGGATCGCTCAGAGAACCTTTAAAGTATCGACATAGAATTTATGTGCTAAAGTTAAATGGAAAAGGATTGTGCCAATATTTGCAAAAAAATACCGAATATAACAGTATTTATATTCGAAAATATCGAAATAACTGGCATTTCCATTAGCTATATTGGTAAACATTTTGATGCGCTAAACTATTTACGCAAAAAAAAAAAAACTCTTGGATGGAAACCTAGCTATAGACAATGCATCTGAAACAAAAAATTTGTACAATTAGTTAGTAATGCACAAATTACTGCAACAAAAATCAAACTAGCAATGAACATTACAGACCATAACAACTTTAACAATTAAAAAGGCATGGCTGTAAAAATTAAGTGAAGCTTTCAAACGTAATATATTGTTCACATAACACACAACACACCATCCTCCATTGTGTTGTCCAACAACGAGGTGGCCGAGTCCAGGGCACCCTCCCTCCCATTGCTCACAGGTCGACTTCCGTAAATAGAGTCCATTTGGTCGAACCACTTCCCCGTTCGTCTGTTTGCACCACTCTGGCCGTTGTGGTCCTTTATCGCTTTTAAGTTATTTTATTTGTCCCTACACTGTTTATAGGTCCGTGTCCGGCTAAGAGCTGGCTAACACTTCTTCATCCGCTCCTCGGCAACCAACGAGAGGTACCTCGTCCACTGACCACGATTCAGCCATTTCTTTTTTGGTCTGGCTATTTAAAACTAGCGGGTTTGGTTTCTTGTGTTGCAAATACAATGACGCTGGTAGTGACGATTCGAATCCGTGATCTGCAGTGTTTACAATTTCACGTCAAATTTTAGCATCGGTACGGCACGCTTGGAACCTCAACAGAGGTGGTACCATTTAAAGTGAGCCGAACCGTACCATACCATGGAAAAGCGTCATTTGTAAACCCTAGAAATGGTTGTGTGTGAAAATCCCAGTAACTGAGCAGATTGTGAAATACTCAGACACCAACAACCATGCCACGCTCAAAATTGCTTAAATCGCCTTTCTTTCCCATTCTGACATTCAGTTTGGAGTTCAGGAGCTTGTCTTGACAAGGACCACACCCCCAAATGCATTGAAGCAGCCATGTGATTGGTTGATTAGATAATTAATGAGAAATTGATCAGGTGTTGCTAATAATCCTTCAGGTGAGTGTGTTATGTTGTTGATTGTACCAGCTGCAGTTTTCAGGGCTACTGTATAACGTTATGTGTATCACTCTCAGAAGGAGAACAAAACTTCAGAGTGCCGGTGACTCAGGAATGCAAGACAGGAATGTGGTCGAGTTACCAAAAAGGGGGTTTGACTGAAAACAATGTCTTTGTGTTTTGGTTGCAGGCTCTAGTCACGCACCTCTTCTACGCGGTACACTAGAAAGAGCCGTGAGCCTGTGTGTGTGTGTGTGCGTGTGTGTGTGGTTGAGCTGGACTCCAGCCAGAGGAGGAGGTGTTGCTCTTAAAGCAAGCGCTGGATCAGGGAACGGGTTACTGCTTCTAAAGCACCACTATCCAAATCACTCGCATTACAATTACACTGCAGAAATGCTTTTCTTACTCAGTATTTCTGTCTAGTTTCGTAAATAATATTCTTAAATAAAGATTCATTTACTAAAGATGTAAAATGCCACATGATATCGCTGTATGACTTGGGAAATAAATCAAAATGTAATGACTTTTTGCTTAAAAAAGATAAATTATCTTGTCTTATCTAAAGATATATAATCTTGTTTCCGTTTGAATTAAGTTTAATTTTCTTACCACATTCACGGATCATTTTGCTTTTTTAAAGCAACAAATAACTTATTCCCAGAAAACAAGACAAAAGCATTTTTGCAGTGTATGGTGACTGGAAATAATCTCAAATGATGAGTCTTGATCATGGACAGAGTGGTTATTGTTTATTGATCAAACTTGCTGAGGTTTAAATGGTGATAGACTCTTATATATGAAATTAATTAACCGACTTTTAAATATTATGTAAGATTGGTGTTAATTTACATTGGAAAAACTTTATAGTTCTTAATTTGCTAGCATTAGATATCAAATTTCATTACAAAAAGGTCTTTAAAACAATGAAAACATCTTTTGCTATTCATGCAAGTTAAAAACATTGAGGTTTTGCCATCCAGTCAGTCTGGGATAATGGGAAGAGACCGAAGTGATTATTACTCTAATGATGCCACATGAATTATTATTTGAATTATTCCTGGAAACTGTAAATAATCAGTCACGGTTGGACGGATCCTGATCCCGAGTCCACTCCTGATCTTCTCAGCTGATCTGAGATGTGTGAAATGAAAGCATGTCTGGAGCTGGTGAAGAACATTAATGAAAACATGATTCACTCTTTTGTGTCCTGTGACGACAGCTGATCTTATCTGACTCACGCTCAACTGCTCACACGCGATGCTGTCATTAACACACACACACACACACACCACTGTTCATTATCAAGTCATGATCACATAAAAAAGTATAATGCACAGGTAAAAACACACTTGCTTGTTATTTTGCTGAAGATGAGGCCCATTTTAAACACGATGAAGTAAACAATGCAATCTCAAGCACAACACACTATACAGAGCTGTCCAATATACAATATACTGTGTGCAACCTCATTAGACATATTACATGCTGGGTTGCCTCAACCCAAATTTGGGTCAAATATGGACAAACCCAAATGTTGATTTAAAAATGCAATTTAAAATTTTAACCCAACATTTGGGTTTGTCAAATATTTGACCCAAATTTGGGTTGAAACAACCCAGCGTTTTTTAGATTGTAAAAATACATTTTGTGTTGACACTCAGAATCATGTGATATTGCTTATGGTTAGGCTTTACTAAAGAAATATAAATGTTGAGTTCCTAAATATTAGATGTCTGTGAAAAAGGGTCGTTTTTGTAGAAAGATAAAATTAAAGAAAAAATATCAACATTGTTATTATTACACGCATGGATTTAAGTACAACATAAAAAAACGTGTGACAAAAAAAAATAATTTATATGTTGTGCATAGTAGTTAAAGACAATTAATAGAGAACTGTTACATTTCCCATGGATCGATGCTGTGTGTGTGTGTGTGTGTGTGTGTGTGTGAGAGAGAGAGAGAGAGAGAGAGAGAGAGAGAGAGAGAGAGAGAGAGAGCGAGAGCGAGAGAGAGAGAGAGAGAGAGAGAGAGAGAGAGAGAGAGAGTGAGTGAGTGAGAGAGAGCGTGCGCTTCTCTTACAGCGAAACACAAGATTTCCTCCGGACCTTCATCTGAGTGTCTCGGTTTAATATCAGGACGTCGTTCGCGAGTGTGAAGAAGATGTTCGCTGGATGAGGTGTTGGTGTGTGTTTGTGGCACGTGGACTCGACAGCCTCATTGAAGGGGGAGAACCGCATGAGTTTATCTGGATTGTGTGGATGTGGATTCCTTCAGTCTGCCGGGATGCTAAAGCCTCAGACACGAGCTCTGGGAACGGGAACATGGATCCTATATCTCTGGGATTCTGGACTTCTGGAATAACTTCACATGTGGAATAATAAACTTAAAAGGATAAAGGACAGAAGGAAGAGGAGAAGCACAAACTCCTCAGGAGAAACTGTTAGCGTGAGATGAAGGTAACGTTAACGTTAATGCTCAGCTTCATCAATAACAGTAAGCTAACATTAACATTAAAATTAAAATTTATGCTAATATAATGCCGCTATTAATGTCAGTTGTTGTCTTCACTTGTTTGCGTAAACGTCCGTTTATTTAGATGTTTTGTTTATGTTGTTAACACCTATTTCGAAATAAGTTAACACTAACAGTGCTATTGTTAGGTTATTTGCTTTATAGCTCAGTATTTCAAGCACACAGGTGCTGTATTTATGTGTGCTAAATGACTTGGTCTGGTTAGCAAAACTTCAAAACCAAGAGGTTTACAACCCAAAACAAGTGCCATGATGAAGGGATGATATTAACATGGTACTTTATGTGCCACAGTGTTGATCTGGTACTAGCCTGGTTTCCATGATCTGTCTTCAGCTCTATATTGACACTGACAGCTATCATCAAACTACTGAAGTTCATAATCTCACAGCCCAAGTTATTTCAGTTTGGTCGACTCTATATGTTTGAACATGTGATAAGACCATTTAGCATAGTGAAACTGTACTGATCCTGTCAGGCTCGGGTTGATGACAGTGTCTCCTCTTTATTATTCTAAGTGTGTGTGTGGCTAGTGGACAGTGGGCGCTTGGTGTGTTTTAAAGGACTCGCCCCTCTTCCAGAGCAGAATTCCTCTATTGTTGAGCCGGGACAGAGATCCACTATATCTCAAACAAGACCTCCTTTCTCCTCTGAGAGGGACCCGATGTCCAACAGAAGTGACTCTCATGGCGAAGGGACTCTCGCGTCACTAAAGAGGCTGAAGTGTCAGTGAAGTTGGTCAGGAATGCCAGTCTCTCACACACAGAAACACTCGTGTCTTCTCTTTTCTTCCTCATCCGGGTCTCTTAATCCAGATTTGAAAGCACGTGTTTGTGTTGTGCTTGCTTTGGTTAGACAAACTACTCTTCCCTGGCCATGTTTACACCTGGTGTTAGGATGATCTTTGTTGCTCTTCGGTCAAAAAAAGAGAAAAATTGTACGTTTAGTTTTTTTCATCGGAATTGTACGAAACTTGGTAAAGGTTTTGGCACTTGCTGTATGTAAACAGGTTAAATGGTCGGTCCTGAATAAAATTGTCGCACTTGAGCTCCTCGCGGTCAGAAATGAGCGCATTGGAGATGAATGTCCTCTAGTGGAAGCGTTCGGTAATGCAGAATCTCACTGAACGTTCATCTTTTGAGATATCAGGCTCACACTTGTAGCACAACTTGTTTAGATTTATGGTTTTGATTTACTTGCTGTTTTAGAATAAAATGCAATATTTCGTATAAAAATTGAAATTAGCATTTTTGTGAATTGTTCATAACAATTCACAAAAAATTATGTTAATTTTAAGAAAACTTTTTTCACTTCAGCGATAATCTGCCAAGTGGCGTCTTTTAAAAGAGATCAAACTTCAGTCTGTGCTTTAAAGCTTTTAAGTTGGAAATTTCATTTTCAGGTCTATGCTCAAAAAGTGAATTTTGGATTATAAATACAGCGTACATATAATTTAGAACCGTGAAATCCCCTGAAAATACAAAATATTAAATAAAGAAACATTATCAAATTAAAATATAGTACAATGACCTAAATTTGTGAAACTGGATAAATCTGCGCTTTCTCAGATCTCGTGCTTTGGTGCGTGTCTCCCGCTGAAGAAATCTCATCTGGCTGGTGCCGTCAGTTGTTGAAGATTTGCTCACACACAGGTCTGAGTGTGTGTGACGAGTGTGTTCCTTCAGCAGGTGTTTACTGCGCTGTAATGTGGTAAACCACAAGAGAAGCATACATGAGCGCGTGTGCTGGCGTCTGGCAGGAACTCAGTGCTTGTGTTCAGTTAAGTTGACCACACTTTTTGTGTAAACCACAAGTTACATTCCAGTGTGTGTGCCGTTAAACCAGGTGTTGTCGAGGTGGCCAATAATAAATACACCAACAGCTTAAATAGCGTTATCCTCTTCAGGGGATGACAGTAGTTGAAGTGAAAGAGAAAATCAATCTTAAGGTCCGTTTTCTCCTACACATGCTGTAATCTTTGTTGAAATATGTTCCTGTAATCACTGTAAAGCTGCTTTAAAATAATCGGTAATGTTAAAAAGCAGTACAGTACAGTTGATATTGCTTTACTAGTGTGTGTAGGACACTATGGTTCATAAGTGAGGAGAGCAAAATAACTCTTCATACAGTGACTACCAGAAAAATGTATACAAAACATGATTCGGACACTTTGAGCTGATGATGTGTTTTCTGTAATTGCTAATGCTCTTTTACACACACTGAACAACATGAAGCATTGCTTGGTCACTGGTTGAGCTAAACTGCTATCATCTAATTGTGTAGTTAAAGTAAACAGCTGACAGATATTCAACAATTCATGTGTGAGAGACGGACAAAACCAGTCACATATCCACTGATTTCAAAACTCTTGAGTTCTGTCATATTTTATTACCATTTTCTAAACTAAAGCGAAAAACGGTGATAATGTGAGAAATGTCGAAGGTGTCTGAATACATTTAGGTTTGACTGAAAATAAAGGTGACTTGACTTTGATATGCCATTTTACTTCTAGACAGGGTGGCCGCGGGTCATTAAAAAGTATTAAAAAGTCTTAAATCAATTTTCCTAAAAATAAGGCCTTAAATTGTCTTAAATTCAGATTGGAAAGGTCTTAAATATGTTTGTCATGTCACCACAAAGATGCAGGCAAAGGCAATCGTTCTGCCAGCCAGGTCGAATATTTTCTACAAGGTAACGTAACCTGTGTGTGTGTGTGTTAGAGACACGCGGGTGCGCTCGAACAGTGGAGACATGAAAAACATCCGTCATTTTTTTCAGTACAACAGTCTGCAAAGTGTTTACTTATATTTGTGTAGGCATATACTCGCATTAAAAGCAAAACCTATTTATCCAACCCTTGTCAGTGTGTTGTAACGTCTGTCAGAGTTTGAAGTCTGCCCAGAAGAAGAATAGGAAAGACCGGTAGTTCACAAATCCTTTTATAGTTGCTTTCTTTCAGTTAAGCACACTCTTCACATACTGTACATCTCGAAAGAGCGGATTGTTAAAAGGTTAAAGAAAACACTCTAAAACGCTAAAAAAAAAACAAAAAAAAAACCCCGCTACAAATTAAAGTGGAAGTAAACGCATTATAATAAAACAAACCCGCGATTGATCGGTCATCTTCCTCTTTGCGCGAGCATTCGCGCTCACATAACAACATTACGCATACCGGTACAATTACGAACGCCATAGAAGAAGTCATCTTAAAGGCATATCAACATGTCATGAACACTACTGAACACTAGGTGGCCGTTACAGACTTCCATCTTTCGGACATTCATCATATCGCATTGGTTTTCATTTCTTGTCCTCAAAACAGGGCACTAATCTGTTTATTTTTAAGTGTTTGTACTTTTATTTTATACGGAAATCCATTATTTATAATTCTTATGACGAGAATAAAGTTAGGGTTAATTAAAATGAAGGAAAATAAATATATTGATCTGAAATATAGCAAATTAATTTTAATTTATTAATTAAAAGGTACAATAACCAAACATATCTCAGTCGTTTTTTTTAATCTTTTTATTAGTTTAATTAACAAACTAATTAAATGAAACTATTATCAGTACACTATATCTATAGTGTACTGATAATAGTTTCATTTAATTAGTTTGTTAATTACATTTAATTAGTTTGTTAATCACAATTAGTTGTTAATAAAGGCATATACCAATTTATCTAAATTGGTATATGCCTTTATTAGTAAATTAAATCTAAGCCTTTATTAATATACTTTTTTATTTTTAAGACATTTATAAAAATGCCTTCTAAATTTCTTTTCGCTCCACTGTACTCCACCACAGGCGACCGCACGTACGGAATTGACAAATTTTATTTTATATTTCCATCGTAAGTTTGGTCTTAAATTTAATTTAGAAGTGGTATTGAAAAGTCTTAAATTTAAATTGGTTATACCTGTAGCCACCCTGTCTAGAGATTGAGAATGTTTTCTGGTTCTCTTCAATACTGAAATAATGTAGTGATGAACTGAAGTATGATGCTTTTCGAACTCGGCAATAAACAAATACAGGACGTTATAATGCTCGACGAGTTCAGTAATCCAGCACACATGAGAGGTGGGAGTGTACCGTAGGTGACGAGGGTGTGTGTGTACACACAGCAAAATCCCCGGAGTTAAATGAACTCTGCTCAGAGAACATTTGCTCCATCTTTACAGAGAGTTTTAGTAACTCTGAATCAGAGTTAAAGTTAATGAGTTAATTAAGTAATGATTGAGCATTAGTGATGAACACAAGCAGAATAATTGCTGGGAGCCACAATAACATAAAACTCATGGCTCCCACCTCCCAGCATGCATTGCTGCCACAAACTCGCAGCAAAAGCCAAGAGTCAAACTGTCCAAGCAAATGAAACACTGATCACCATATTGGTGACCAAACATTTTCAATAAATCGTAGGGGTGTAACGATACACGTATTCGTATTGAACCGTTCGGTACGAGGCTTTCGGTACGCATTTTTGAACCGAACGAACCGTTTTTCCTGCCGAGTGCCGACCAACATTTCGTTATTCAAAAGTAGGCGCGTCGCACGTGGCAAGCGCGTTCATAATGTAAGAGACGCTGGCGTGACCACAACATTGCCCAACATCAAATGGCAAATGTAATGTAAGCGGAAACGAAACTGAGCTGCTCGTTATTGTGTGGTTGTCTGGATGACGCACCGTTTATCAGTTTGGACAAATGCAGCGCGTGCCGATCTTGACCAGCACTTTTACCACACAGCCAAATCCAGTAAAGAAAACATTTGAATTCGCCACTGAAGTTAAAACCGCGGCGAGATCTAGTGAGAAACATTTCTCCGTTATTAACGGATCAAACAGCGCTGACGTGGAAACCAGAAACAAACATTGTGCCGTGAATGAAGTATCCAGTGTCCACAGATCAGCAACATTCCCCATG